ACTCTGCACACACTCCTAATCTCACTTTTGTGATACGAGGCTTAAGGTTCAGCCAACTAACTGTTTATTGTTTAGGTCCCGAATTTCAATGTCACTCTCTCTCTCTCTCTCTCTCTCTCTTTTTTTTTTTTTTTTTTTTTTTGGTTTTTTGAGACAAGGTTTCTCTGTGTAGCTTTGCGCCTTTCCTGGAACTCACTTGGTAGCCCAGGCTGGCCTCGAACTCACAGAGATCCACCTGACTCTGCCTCCTGAGTGCTGGGATTAAAGGCGTACGCCACCACCGCCCAGTGAAATGTCACTCTCTTTCAAGGAACACTGACCACTCAACTTTACATGCTTGCTTTACAGAGTGTGCATCAGGGAACTTGGCTAATAGCTAAGAGTTGCCATGGTTACTCACCATGCCCAGTCAGTGTGACTTCTCTAGTCTGTGATTTCTCATGTGTTACAAAAATGGCTCTGTTTCTTTATTGTTTACTCAAAAAAATGTTATTTGACCCTCAAAATGTAACTCATATATTTGTCCAGAGTTTCTCCTGTGAGAGAGATGAAGATAGATGTATAGGAGAGAGATATGTAGAAGAGACATGTGTGAAGAGAGGTGTGTAGCTGTGTAGAAGAGAGATGTAGCCGTGTGGAGACAGAGAGATCATCAGGAGAGGAGAGAAGATTTTTTTCAAGATGAACTAGAAGAGACAGTCACCACCAGAAAGAGTGTGTTTTCTTTCTTATTACCCCCTCAGATAGAAAGATTTAGCTCTCACCACTTTCATGGATTTTTTTTTTTTGGCATCCCCTGTGCTGCTGGATGCTGGCCCTCCAGGCAGCGAAAGAGCTTCATCTGGACACAGATATTGCTTTCCCATATCAGTGGGCCTCAACCATAATTTTTGTGGTCAATACTGAGGAAATTAAGAGGCAAGTACAAAGGCCAATGTGACTTTAACACATTGCCATGTTTCTTTCGGGCTCCATCTAAACCCACACTTTGAAGAGAGCTTTCCTTTAAAGGATGTGTGCTCTGGAAGAAAGGCACACAGGAGTCATGGGTTCAAACAGGTGTGCAGTCAGAGCAAATGGCATGAAGCCTTGGACAATAGGAAGTGGCTTACGGGATGCTCCTGGTGTAGGGCCACACAAGTGCAGAACCTGCCGCAGATTCAACAGCATTTCTTCTGTACTGCATTTCTTCCATTTCTTAGATTACCTAAAACTTTTGGGCTTCAAGATAGGGCCTACTTTTAAAAATAGTTATGAATTAAGAAAAAGGACAGGTTATTGGGCCAGTGAGATGGTGGAAGCAGGAAAAGGCACTACCGCCACGGCTGATGAACTGAGCTTGATCCCTGCGACCCACATGGTGGAAGGGAAGAACTGATCCCCCCAAGTCTTCTGACTTCTGCACACATCTGCGCATGTGCACACATGCGACAATAATAAAAGTATTACAAAGGACAGATATTTCTTAAGGAAGTGGAGTTTTCAGGAGAAACTGAAATACGAGAAAATGATGAACTGTGGAAACGTAAGAGTGAAGTAAAGTCTTCTTCAACTTAGCACTCCACACATTCACATAGACACACATCTACACACTTTATGCTACCTTCTACCCACTCACATCCTCACTCATATACACACTTACCTGCATGCACACATTCATTCCTACATATAGGCTCACAAGTCACTCCCTTATATATACAAACTCCTATGTACACACTCATCCTTATATCCATACAGACACATTCACACATACGTGACACAATCTCATAATGCACCCACCCACCCACGCACCCACAGATATTCATGGGAGTACACTTACACCTGCACCCACACACACTCTCTCCCTACAGGGGTTGCACCCACTCAACATAAACACCCTATAAAAGTATAAGACCAATTTCACATTTCCTTTCATTCAAGAATAACACTCTGTTATTGTCTTCACAGGCTGGTGGAGTTCTGCTTTGAACTTCCTGGGTACCCCTGTTTGCAGTTATGGGGTGTTCCAGTGTTGTTAAAGAACCCTCATATGCATGCCCTTGAGCCCTCCCTCCAGTGCAGTACCACTTGGGCCTTATTATAAAGCATCCAATCTGGATTTTTCATTTACAAATTATGGCTCTCAGCATATCTTACTTTGAACATTGTTCTTGGAAGCAGCTTCATTTTGAACTGCAATGTTAGTTTCAAAGTGAAGGGCTTGGTCATGATGCAACAAGTTATTTTTAAGAGATTCTCTTGTACCAGACACTGTGTGTGTGTGTGTGTGTGTGTGTGTGTGTGTGTGTGTGTGTGTGTGTGTGTGTGTGTGTGTGTGGTAGGGGGAGGTGGGAAGGAGCTTTGAGAAATAAAATATAGTACACCTCACCTGGAAACCTTGTCCTGTGAGCATGCAGTCATAGCTGAATTCAAACAGTATTTTGACTCAACCAAGATGACTCATCAAGTAGTAGAAAAAGATTTAGAGAGGCTCTCAAGTCCCCGTCTCCACCTAGTGACTGGATGACCCTAGGCATGCACTACCTTTCTCTGGTTTTTCAGATATTCCTATCTGGTACCTAACCCACGGCGGTTGAGAGAATTAAATGAGGTAGTGATACTGGCTTTCAGCCCAGATGCAACTTTGCTTCTTCATAAGAAAGGCGGGTTCTAGTGTTCTGTTGTTCCTGCTGAGGAGGGTCGCTTTCCATTACCACTTAGGTTATTTTCAACTTCTTAAAACCTTTTCTCTTTGAATAACTGTGGGAAAAATTCCTAAACATCCACACTCTCAATTTTCTCATCTTTTCTTCCCTGAGGATGACTCAATAAGACAGAAAGTCTCTGCGGAGCACAGTTTTGGAGGAGTGGTGGCTAAGGGGAGGGTATAGTTTAGAGACAGAAATGCTGGTCACGGAAGTGGGATGAAGCAAGGATGCGAACATTGGAAGAGGGAACTCAAATGGAGTGCTGATGACATTAAGTCAGGTATCACGGAATCGTCTGAGCTCCCATGTCCCTAAAGTGCCACATCGAAGCCACAATGGAAGCAGAAGGACATGTTCTCATACTCTATTAAGTATATACTCTCCTTGAGTTTTAAATTGAAAGCTTACCTTCCAGAAAAGAGAGATCTGTTGTTTGTTAGAGCCGATGTTCTGTTTCATGTACCAGATGTCTAATGTCCCAACAGGCTCTGATGGAGGGAGGGGTGAAAAGCACATATTCACGTAAATATAGATATATACACAGTAGAAAACCTTTAGAAGTCAATAGATAATTCTGGAAATAGGATTATAGGCTAATTTCAATTTTCACTGTAATCTAGTATTTCCTGTTTTATTTAAAAGCAAACATGTATACCTTTGGCACAAAAGTAAAAAAAAAGAAAAGATGGATACTTTGAAGAGAAAAAAATTAAAAATACTAAGAAAATTTATTTCCTCACTTACCTTTAAAATATATTAACTCACATTTCATTTGTTCATAAGTATTTAAGTTAAAAAAAACTCAAGGTATGTGTGATTATTTTTTTTTATTGGAATGTGGGAAAGCAAGGATGTAAAGGAAACCAAGGTATTGTAAGAACACAAAACACAAGTACAAATAGCAAGCCTTATCTTTACTCCAGTCCTAAACTTAGACCGAAGCGTGGTTATTTGGTGTGATCTACTTGGAGCAAAGGCACATCTCCTTTACTTAGAAGCCACAATGCTGAGTAGAGTATTTAGGACGTAGTAAGTGTTGTTCAGTGATGAAGGTACAAACCAGGCAATGTTATTCATTTGATGTCAAAACACAAGCCGAACAAATAGAAGAAATAAGCTTCAAGCCACAAGACAATGGTTGAATATAGTACAACTGAACTTGAGAAAAGCAAACACACTTGAAAAAGAGAATAATCAGCCCTGTGCAGAGCGTGTGTGGGTGTGCGTGTGTGTGTCTGTGTGTGTGTACGTGTGTGTCTGTGTGTATGTGTGTGTGTATGTGTGTCTGTGTGTATGTGTGTGTGTATGTGTGTCTGTGTGTATGTGTGTGTATGTGTGTGTGTATGTGTGTGTGTGTGTGTCTGTGTGCGGGTGTGTGTGTATGTGTGTGTGTGTGTGTGTGTATGTCTGTGTGTGTGTGTGTGTGTGTGTGTGTGTGTGTGTGTGTGTGTGTGTGTTTCTCTCCAACTTGACAGATTTGCTTTTAGCCAGGTGTACAACCGGTACAAACAACCACTGAAGTTATCTGCTGTCACCCCAACCCATCTTCCTTCACAGGGAACTTGCAGTATGTTTGAGGTGAGGCCGCACTGGGGTTCCTTCTGGAGTGTAGCTCCTCTCAGCCCTGAACGAACTTTCTAGCATAGTAACGCCTGCTACCTGGGCAGTAACCATAGTAACAAAAGCTACACAGCTGGGGAGAGACTAGCAGTGGGAAAGGGAAGGCAAAGCGGGCAGCCCTGTGCCAGCACCCTTCAAGGGCCTGCCGGGCTCTTCAGGGCTCTTCGCAGCACCACCTTCCTCATGTCCTGCTGGGACTGAAGATGGAGCGCAAGGGGTACCAGGGAACCAGGCTGTCTACCACAGAACCCTGCTGTGTGACCTTTAACAGACACGCCCTTTAGCAGGTTTCCTCAGCTGTCAGATGGTGTTGATGGCTCTCTATCATGGGGGCTGTTTTGAGGACTTAGAGGAAGAGTGCCTCCACGGGGTGTTTAGCTGTTGCCATTTTTCTCATTTGAAGACTGAGCGGCTGAGTGGTTAAGAAACTTAACAATTAATAGTTATGGAAGTCAGGCTCTGAGCATGGGTCTATTTGATCCTATCTCCCGGTCTGGGCTTTGCAGCAGGCAGTGACTTGGCTCTGAAAAAGCTTGTGACTTCTCTATGAAATTCACATTCCCCTTCCGGTGGACCTCTTCTGTGGTTCTTCTCTCTCTCTTCTGTCTTCTACTTGTGTGTGTGTGTTTGTTTTGCTTTTTTTATTTATTTTATTTATCTAAAGCCCCTTTCTCCCTTCTCTCTTCCTATTAGGGGTAACATTGCTCTTTCAGCAAAGACAACAAAATGAGAAAAGCTTTCATAAAGCATTCTGAAATGCTTTCAGTTCTTCAGGACATGAAAGAGTGCCACAGGAACTGAGCCTGGGCCTTGTATCTGAGAGTTCATGTCCCAAGAATTAAAAAGTACAGGCAACTGACACTAACCACTGCGAAGTGCAAGGGAAAGTTTAGACACTGCCGTGTACATGGTCTCACTGAGCCCTCTTCTGATATAGCAGACTCGCATGATGACATCTGCTGTACAGCTGTGGACAAGGAGCTTGGCAAAGACCAGATCGACAAAAGACTCAGAGCTGATACCTGACAAAGCTGAGAGCTGCGGCCAGCTCTTGCTATCTCCAAAGAGCCTGCTTTTCCCCTTGCAGTTTGCTATACTGAACAAAGATCTGTATTGAACATTCCACAAATTACATCGTCCAGGCATTGACCATGTAATTAGGATTGGGTGTGTTCAGTATCAAATCAGTTGGCTTGTTCACAGCAATAACACCTTCAACTAATTACATATTGGCAACAGATTTAAAGGTATTGCTCACTAGATTGCTTGTTAAAGATCTAGCACCTAACAGATTATTACAGACTGGGAATCAAATTCTGCACTGATGCTCCCTCTACAAACTCCAGAACAAATGTAAATGAAGTTTTAGTGGTGCTCTCCAGCACAGGACTCAGACTGCCTTCCCTGGATCACCAGCGGCCCCTCCCTCAGACCCTCATCATTCTCTTGCAAATGTACTGCATTGGGTCTGATCCCCAAGAGAAAAACAAGGAATTTCTTAATAGCATATACTTTTTCGATATTGCTCCCATCTCTGTCTTTCACAGAACTTTTTGGAAGGAGTTGAACATTGTGGCTGCCTTCATTCCCGCACTACACATGCACTCTCCGCCCATGTTATGTGACATCGCTTCCTCCATGCACACTGATCGCACAGCTACAGGCTGTCCCAGTCACCAGGTCTAGTGGATACTTCTCCGCTCTCATTTCGTTGCATTTCTTAGCATCCCAAGTCAAGAAGTTGTTTCTATTCTATTTTTCCGATGCAAGGATTTTTCTGGAGACATGATTATGTGTGAGAAAGTGCTGAGGGAACCAGGGTTTCGAGTTCTCTCCTGCTGCTTCATCCACTCTACTATGAAGGAATTAGAGTAATGATGGGAAAAGCAGGTTGTAGGTAATACAGAGAGTGCAACTTTCAGAAAGCTCAAACAAGGAACGCTAGATGTTGTTTAGAGACACATGGATGAGAAATACACAGCCCGGGAGAGTGCGACCAGTGGGAAGACATGACAGGTGTTGAATCTGGAAGTGCTAATGTTGTCCTACTTGTGATGAGATCACGGATGAGAATGAGAAGAGAAAGATAGCGCAAGAGACCAACAAAAAACCAAGACCATGAGATTTCCGAGAACTCAAGCACATTACACATTTCAAGAGGGCAATTGCTCCTTTCCTCACTGCAAGACCTTGAAGACTGTAAATCCCAGACAAAACACCTTGTGTCAGACTGCTGTTAACTGAATCTATAGAATGGATGGCTTGAACAACATACGTCTGTTTGTATGGTTCTAGAGGCTGGGAAGTGAAAATCAAGGTGCTATTAGATCTGAACCTAGTGAGAGCCTGCTTGGTGTGGCTGTCTTCTTGCTGAATCCTCACACAGGAAGTGGGTGAGTAGGAGACAGATATGTTTTCCTCTCCTTTTGACATCTTCATACTCATAATCCAGTTACCAGCAAAAGTCTCACCTCCTAATTCTATCCTATCAGGGATCAGAGCAGAGCTTCATTATATGAATTTTATGGGAACATGAACTTTAGTTTTTAGCAGTGAAGAAATGTAAAAAGGCTACCAGATTCCTCTTGGGGTTATGCTTAACCTTGGCGTTGCCTCCCCCAGGAATTTTGCTATATCCTTGAAAGATAAATTGCAGCTCCTGGAGTCTGAAGTTCTGACTGGTTGTTGTTATGTCCCAGCACAAGCTGTAGCTCCTGATGCAAACACATTTCTTGTAGGCCATGCTTTCAATTACAACAGAAAGCACTTTCCAGTACTGGGGTGGCCATCGTGTATCAAATAACTGAGCACAGGCATTTATTTCCTTAGAGACAGGGACAACCTTAGGGAAGACTGAAAAAGAGGCAAAGGTCTGGACTCTGGCTAGATCAAAAATGACTTCCCCAATGAAATGTTTGCATGTGAATCCTTTTAGTAGTATACTAAGACCTTCATTCTCATTTTCTCCAACCTTAGGCAAAGAGATAGAAGCATGATAATCTCTGAGCTTATTCTAGGGGTTGACAACCGCGGCTTGTGAGCCAATTCCAGCCTGATTCTCATTTTTGTAAAGTTGTAAACAATAATAGTTGCTTGGCATTTTTAAGTGGTTATAACATCAGAAATATCAATTTACATGGAAATTATGTAAAGTTCAAATGTTGGTACTCATATATGGAGTTTTTTGGAATCCAGTCACATCTCTGATCGATGCCAATGCTACTTAGTTGCTTCAAGAATGACTTTTAATAATTGCAGAGACTACATGGTCTACAAAGCTACAAGTATTAACTTCCTGGATCTGCAGATAAACTGATTGCTAACTCCCACGCTTCATTGTGATGAAAGGCTTGTTTTCTAAGATGTTAGAATAACTCTGGTATTTAATTGTTTACATCTACCCTAATGGTGATAATAGTTTAGTATAACACATGAATGAATGAATTTCCTGGCTTCTCAATGTGAGGAAGGGTGGCTGTAATGGGCTGCTAAATCTCTCTCTCTTGGGCATCTTTCACTCATCTGTGCTGTCAGAACAACATGAGGCACTTCTTTGCCACTCTGATCTGAAGATAAGCATGCCATGCCTCCATAATTAATCCCCCAAATTCATTGAGGCGAGTAGCACTCAAACCTGTACACAGAGAGTCACGTACATAAAAGGAGGCCTATTCATCTTAGTGGAGCCTTCTGCTAGGTGTTGTGAGTGTTGCGTGTGCACAGGTCTGCATACTTTTGAGCTCAAATTTATGAATGTTCTTTCACTAGAAAGAAAATTTGGCTTCAAGTCCCCAGAGTCAACACTGCTTTTGATGGATGTTGAATGAGAAACTGTTTCTCAGAAAGTGACATGGTTTCCTTCCTCCTCCCCTTCCTTAGTGGTCATTTCTCTGAAGACCAGGACAGGAGTCAAATTTAACACCAAAGGAAGGGGCCCACGTGCAGTGAAGAGAGTCTTCACTCAGTTGGAACGACACAAATAGCCACACCTGGGCCACCGGGGGACACCATGCTCCTCCCAGGTTTTAGAAGTTTAGCCCTCAGAAAAAGAACCCTCTCACAAATCATTCACAGTTTCAGAGAGTAAAGCGAGTTACGTATGACTAGACACTTAGAAGGGTTAAAAGGAAGAAGTATTAAAAAAAATTTTCACACGTTTAGGTTTACGTCAGTTGGTGTTTCAAAAAGAAACTGATGACAGAAAAGAGTGGTAAGGGGTGTCAACCACAGAGCTTAAAGTAAGAGCAGCGAGTACCCACAGAAAGATCAAACACAGAGAAGCAAGACGCAGACGTCGAAAGGAAGCCTACAGGCTGAGGTAAACCACGCCTCAGTTCTCTGAGTGTCTGCCCTGCTCTGAACACACATAAGCCTCACAGTGACTGGGGGCTTATTTATAGTATATTAGAGTTACTAGCTTGCCTTGGAGAAGTCTGAATTTATCAGGTAAGTGCTAAAAAAAAATAAATCCTTTTCAATACATCTAAGTAAGCCATTAATCTGTGTATAAATGACAAGGATTCATAAGCCTTGAGGTTCTGTAGTTTATAGCTCAGACCCATGTGATGTAATAATGTAGCTTACAGATGTCTAGACCCATATTTTCTTTTGGATTTGAATATCAAATATGACACATTTGAAAAATCTTATCTGCATTGTCCAAACAAAATCAAGTCTATGAAGTATTTAAAAAATATTACTTCACACTGAGGGGAGTGGTGCATGCCTTTAATCGCAGCACTCAGGAGGCAGAGGCAGATGGATCTCTGTCAGGGACCAAACATAGACCATGGAAAAGTACTAGCTAGGCCAGAGAACAAGCCCCTGCCCTAAACCAGATGCTCCCAAAGATAAAGAACAGGTCAGGTAGGTCAGGTAGCATAGCAACAGAACAATGGGCCCTGACCAGTGACCTTACCACCTAGCACAACACCCTCATGACTTGCACGTCTCCCTTCACCTGCACGTAGGGCACGTCGTGCACCCCTTCCCTCCTTCCTGCCCCCTCCCCCTCCCATGCTATATAAGCCTTGCTGAGGAGAATAAAATTTGCAGCTTGATCAGAACACTGTCTTGCTGTCTTCTCTCATGTATCCCTGTCCCTTTCATTCTCTCCGCAGGTGGGTCACCCCCGTTGACACCCTGCTGGCCGGGGCAGATCTCTGAGTTTGAGGCCAGCCTGGTCTAAAGAGCAAGTTCCAGGACAGCCAGGACCACACGGGGAAACCATGTATTGAAACAAACAAAAAAACAAACCAAAATTACTCCAACTACATTAAAGAGTGCAAAGAAAAATCTCTAGACTACAGAGGGGCACGTGGGTCACTAATGTGATCTTTAGTCAGAAAACGAGGTATTATCACTCACTAGATAAATCCATTTTAAATATTTTCTTACATGGAGAAATGCAATTACCAAAAGACATGAAGATTATTATCCAAACTCTATATTGGGTGTAATAGTCTCATAGTAGGTATCAGGCCTCTCTGGGGCCTTGGATGCCACCAGCTCATCACTGATAGATCATCAATTACCAAAAGACTATTAAGAAATGGGCTGTGGTGGCACATACCTTTAATCCTAGCACTCAGGAGGCAGAGGCAGTGGGGTGGTCTCTGAGTTCGAGGTCAGCCTGGTCTACATATTGAGTTCCAGGCTAGACAGAACTACAGAGTGAGACACTGTCTTAAAACAAACAAACAAAACCAACAAAACCCCCAACTATTAGGAGCTCAAAGAGTGCAGCTCAATCACAAGGTTGCTTCCCATATACACATACTCCCACCTTCATAAATAATCACTTAGTTGTTCACATCAGTATTATAAAAACTCCAGCTGGGTGTGGCAGTGCACATTTTTAATCCTAGCACTTGGGAAGCAGAAGCAGGCAGATTTCTGTGAGTTCAAGGCCACCCAGGTCTACACAGTGAGTTCTAAGCCATCCATTAAGAATTTGTCTCACAAAACAAAACTCTAGATAGTAATAAGCAATTGACTACATTCCTGTAATTTTTTCTTTGATTTAAATTTACATGAAGTATCATAACAGTGCCTCAGACCTGATTAGGCCCCCAAACCTTAGCACAACTGACTCCATGATGGAAGTACCATTCAGGCTGTTAAACTCAGCACCACCGGCCACAACTAAAACAAAGACCTAATCCATCAAAGCCCATATAGTTCTGGGAAAGTCTCAAAATGTTTTGGCCTTGCTTTTTAGCTTCTGTAGTTCTGCTTCTGGCTAACTGTTCATGTTAACTGAACTGTGTCAACCCAGAACATGGTTTTTGTGCTTAAGAGCTCACCCTGAAAAAGGCTCAGGGCTGCACTGGGATCCTGAACATGCAGTGTTGTCGCTGGCCAGCTAATAGAGTTTCTCTTGGCTTAAACCCATGTCCGAGCAATCTTCTCTGGTGAGTGAATACCCACAAGAGTATGAAAAGTTCTATACTATGCCACTACCGAGTGCTTAAAGAAACAAAACGAAACAGGATTCTTGTGTATTCAAGGGTTGTTAATATCGGGAAGGAAGTGTTTTCCAGACACAGCAGGGCCAGTGCCCATTTGAATTCACAGTGGTTGAGACAGCATGCACAAGAGCTGTACAAGCTCAAGCCAGACAAAGTTCCAGCATGGAGAGGGGAGGCAAGCATGGAGTCCCGTCTCCTGCTGAGGAGCTCTTGGCAATTGATAACTGCTGGGAGAGGGAGAGTCAGGTTTCTCTAAAGGTGTGTGGCTCTCAGTGGGTTGACCACTCTCCAGTGAAGGCCACACATCCTAGAGTATATGGGCAGCACGAATGGAGCTTCATGGGTTTTTAAAACAAACAAACAGGAAAAAGAAGACATAATTGTGTGGGTTAGTTATGAATCTGGAAGGAGTTGGGGGAGGGAGTAATATATATGATCAAAATATATTACACAAAACTCTTAAGGAACTAATAAAAATGAGAACAATTTGTTAATATGACAGAAAGATTATGTAAGAATTTCTGTTTCAATAAAATGTTTGCTCATATTTCAATGAAATTGACTTCTCAATAATTATCGAAAGGAAAAGCCCACTAATTAGATAAAGACTTGAACTGGTTATGCTGCTCCTAGTCCTGGCACAACGGGCTCCTTTAAGCAGGATAACATCACAGGCTTGAAGAAGTGCAATGCAGCATTTGAAGAAAGAGGATTGTTGGACAATCCTTTTATTTCAGGATACTGTCTTCAGAAATTCTTTCAAACTTTTAGTATGGTTTATAGTTTCTAAATAATCATTTATAATTTTCAAAGAACCAAAGAGATAAAATACATCAAAGAAATGAGATCAATTACTGGCTACAGCTTTGGGGAATAACAGGTACTGAGACAGAAAGAGGAATAAGAACACACTTAATTGGACACTAACAAAGCCATGGTTTGACTGATGGAGAACAGGGGTAGGACCAGTCTCATGCTCAACTGCTTAGCACCATAAACGTACCTTCTTGGGCAGTTTCTGTAGCCCATGCCCCGGAAGAGTCTACTCCAAGGGAGACTTTGCCTCTTCCCGCCCCCTTTTTCTGCTTCCTCCACCTCATTTTTGGCTGGATGCCTACCTTCCTCGGGTGTTCGCGTTGTCAGTGACTTACTCCAGTCGCTCCAGCTTCCTTTAGAGAGATGTAGCTTGGAGGAAATCTGAAATTCATAGTCTGTAAACGGTGTCAGATCTTGTAGGCTGTGTCTTCCTTTGGCATTTGTAGTGTTAACCTTGAATCAGATGAGATTTGTTTCACTGAGAGACAATGCTTGTGCATTTTTAGAGAGTGGATTGTGTATTGTGCCAGTCTAGTATGGGCAGAGGGTATGCAATGGCCAAGGCAAGGAGATAAGGCTCCTCTCCTCACAAAACAGTAAGCATGGTGACCGGAGAGATGGCTCAGTGATTAAGAGCACTGGCTGCTCTTGCAGGGGACCTGGTTTCCATTCCCAGGACTCGCATGGCAGCTCACAACCATCTGTAACTCCAGTTCCTGGGGATCCAATCAGATGCCCTCTTCTGGCCTCTGTAGGCACCAAACATGCATGTGGTATACAGAAATAAATTGTGCACAACAACCATAGACATTAAAAAAATCTGAAAATAGTAAGCATTTTCACACTCTTTTGATTGCTTTGAAGTACATCATAGGTCACTCCAGCTGTTTAGGTGTTAACATGCTAAGGGCGAGCCTGATGTCACTCCTTTCCTCAGTCTCCTCCTTCCACTCTACCCTCCACAGGCTCTAGTGACAAATACATGCTCTTACTCATTAAGGCAATCTTGTAGGACAGAATAGAACAGCAGAATAGACAAGGTCACTAAAGTGCCCATTTAGCAAATGGACGTAAAGAGGAGACAGCTCAGTGGTGCAGCGTGTCCTCAGCAAGTACAAAGCTCATATACAGAAAGGATAATACAAAGAATTTTTAGATTGATTGATGTATGTATGTATGCATGTATGTATGCATGCATGTATATATATGCCTGAGTGTTTGGTTGTGCACCATGTGTGCACAGGAGGTCCGAGGAGGCCAGTCAGAAGAGGGCATCAGATCCCTTGGAACTGACATTACATGCAGTTGTAAGTCACCCAGTGTGGGTGCTGGGAACCAAAGCTAGGTTCTCTGCTGCTGAGGTATTTCTCCAGCCTGATACAGAGAATTTCAACTTGAAAGGACAATCTAGATGAGATGACCTTTTAATTCTCTGGATCTACCATTCAATGAGAATGAATAATTGTAAGGTTACTGAATATGAGATGTTAATCTAATATAGTAGTTTCTCTTAAAAAAAATCTCTAGAGATTAAGAGTCTGTCTGTTGGGGGCTGGAGAGATGTCTCACTGGTTAAGAGCATTGGATATTCTTGCAGATGACCAGGGTCCAATTTCCAGTACCACATGGTGGCTCACAACTGTCTGTAACTCCAGTCTCATGGGATCCTCCCTCTTCCGGCTTCCATGAGCAACAGGCACACACAGTCCACAGCGCAGACGGGCCTGAACTCTACCCTTTCTCTCAGCCTTCAGAGTACTGGGATTATAGGCGTGTGCCATCACACTAGTCCAAAAATCTGTTTTTAAAGCCACGTGGAAAATTTCTACACCATAGACATAAAACTGGTTTCAGGAAAAAAATGTTAGTCCTGTTTTCTCTCTCTCTCTCTCTCTCTCTCTTTGTTCTTTGTTTTTTTCAAGACAGAGTTTCTCTGTGTAATAGTCCTAGCTGTCCTGGAACTCACTTTGTAGGCCAGGCTGGCCTTGAACTCACTGAGATCCGCCTGCCTCTGCCTCCTAATGCTGGGATTGAAGGCGTGCGCCTTCATGTTCTCTTGAGTCTCAACTATATGTGGAGCCAATCCTTTTGTATTATCATAAGCCACTGTACTTTACAAAAATTCTTGAAGGAATCATAATCCTACGTTTTTTTTTAATTATTATTATAAAAAATGGTAGTGCCAGGTTGGGAAAACGGCTCAGTGGGTAAAGTTCTTGCTGATCAAATGTGAGGGCCCGAGTCAAATCTCCAGCACATGTGTAAATTCAGGCACAGGCACTTGTAACACCAGGCTCCAGCAGTGAGGTAGTTCAGGAGACCGGAGAATGCTACAACTCATGGACCACTCACCTGTTATATGCATCTGAGAACCAGAAACACACCCTGTCTCAAATGAGGTGTAATTGAAAGGTGGGGACTGACACTCAAGGTTGTTCTCTGACCTCCACATGACACATATGCACTCCCAACACCCCCCCCCCCCAACATACACACAGTGTAGTGCCTAATATATCAAACTGCAATCCTTTCCTTGGGAATATCTAGTTCCATATAAGCCTTTGAGTACATACTCTAATATTTCTTTCCAATATGTTCTTTTTTTTTTTTTTAACCTACTTTTTTTTTTTTTTATTTATTTATTATGTATACAGAAGAGGGTGCCAGATCTCATTACAGATGGTTGTGAGCCACCATGTGGTTGCTGGGAATTGAACTCAGGACCTCTGGAAGAGCAGTCAGTGCTCTTAACCTCTGAGCCATCTCTCCAGCCCCTCCAATATGTTCTTAATGTTAAAAAAGAAAAACAAGAAAGGGGATAGAAGAATAAGGAGAAACAAATTATTTATTAAAAATAGGTTTATAAAAGCCCTTGGCTTAAAACAGTCAGAATAAGGACCTGTGAGATCACTCAGCAGGTAAAGGTACTTGCTGGGTATGCCTCATGACCTGAGTTCCACACCCAGGACTCACTGTGGGAGGAGAGGATGGACTCCCAAAAGTTGACCTCTGACCTCCACGTATATACTGCAGCACACATGTACACACACACACACACACACACACACACACACACACACACACACACACACATACACACACGCACGCGTGCGCGCGCGCACACACACACCACCACCACCACCACCAACAACAACAGTAAAATAAAATGTAAGGGTTGGGAAGTAGCACAGTGGCAGAACACCTGTCTGATACAGGCAAGGCTTTGGGTTCAATTCCCAGCACCCCTAAAACCAAACAACCAATCAACCGACCAAACCTGCTGTTTAAAGAAAAGACTTTAAGGATGTCTTGAGATTGCTCCGTGGGTAAAGGGGCTTGCTGACAAGTCTGACATCTTGATTTTGATCCCCAAGATCTTTATGGTAGAGCCAACTCCCATCAGCTGTCCTTTGACCTCTACATGCCTCCCACTCCTTGCTCCATGCCTCTCTCTCTCTCTCTCTCACACATACACACACACACACACACACACACACACACACACACACACACACACACGCACACGCACACGCACACGCACACATATATACACACACCACCACATAAATAAGTAAATAAACAAAAATGAACAATGAAAATAAAATTCAAGATCAGGGATCAAGATATTTCTTGTGTGTGTGTGTGTGTGTGTGTGTGTGTGTGTGTGTGTGTGTGTGTATACTTGTTCATAAGTGTGCATTGTGTGGGGGGCATACATGTGTCTTTGCATGTATATGTACCCGTGAGACCCGAGGTCATTGTTAAGTGTCTTCCTCAACTGCTTCTCCACTGTATTTCTTTTCTTCTTCTTCTTCTTTTTTTTTTTTGAGGAAAGTTTCTCACTGAAGGTGGCTCTCACTGACTGACTGGGAGAGCTGACCAGTGCCCTCCAGATGTCCCCCTGTCTCTGTGTCAGTGCTAGGATCACATGCATATGCTGCCACGCCCCACTTTTTAGTGAGGGTTCTGAGGATCCAAAGTCAGGTCCTCACACTTGCTCAGCAAGCTCTTTACTCACGGACCCATCTCCCCTACCCCAATCTTTCTTTCTTTTCTTTTTCTGTTTGTTTCAAGACAGGGTTTCTCTGTGTAGCTCTGGCTGTCTTGGAACTCACTATGTAGACCAGGCTGGCCTTGAACTCACAGATATCCCTCTGCCTCTGCCTCCCAAGTGCTGGGATTAAAGGCATGTGCCACCACTGCTTGGCTCACATTCTCTCTTTTTCTTTCTTTCTTTCTTTCTTTCTTTCTTTCTTTCTTTCTTTCTTTCTTTCTTTCTTTCTTCCTTCCTTCCTTCCTTCCTTCCTTCCTTCCTTCCTTCCTTCCTTCCTTTCTTTCTTTCTTTCTTTCTTTCTTTCTTTCTTTCTTTCTTTCTTAGAATTTATCAAATTTTAATGATTTATTTTTATTTTATGTACAGTGGTATTTTGCCTGCACGTATGTCTGTGCAAGGGTGCCAGATCCTCCGGACCTGGAGTTACAGACAGTTGTGAGCTGCCATGTGGTTGCTTGGGAATTGAACCCAGGTCCTCTGGAAGAGCAGCCAATGCCCTCAACCACTGAGCCATCTCTCCAGCCCCTCCAGTGTTTCTAAATAAACAGAGAGATGGCTCAGTGATTCAGAGCACGTGTTGCCTTTGCAGAGGGCCAAGTTTTGGTTCCTAGCACCCATATGGTATCTCAGAACGACCTGCAACTCCAGCCTCAGGGGATCTGATGCTCTCTTCGGGCCTCTGGGGGCACAAGGCACACATATATGCAAGGGAAACGCTTGTACACACAAAATTTTTAAAAAGCACACGGAAGTATGAACAACTTTCTGATGGGTTTCCAATATGTGTTTCCAGGCTTGAAGTTCTTAAACTCCCTGCTTTGTTGACATGACAAGTCTGTGCAGCAATGTTGAGGCCCTTACTGATTCTCTCCCTTCCCTTTGAACACTCTTACCATATTCCAGGACCGGCTGTTCCGAGGCCGGTATCTGAGTCGATTGCACACCACTTGCTGCTCATCTTTCCACTGCAGGATACATCTGCTCCCAGAAGCATTTAGAAAATTGATTCTGATGTCCCACGGAGGAAGAGGCCTCACTGGTAACCGAAACAAATCAAAATGTTCAAGTCAGGCTTTATGATCGGCTATTGCTTTAAGGACTGACATGAGCTATTTAAAATGTTGGTTTCACTTCTCAGCCATTGAGATAATTGCCCTTAACCCAACCTCATCTTTACCAAGTAGTGGATGTGTTGACCCCACTTACTGGATTTAAAGAAAACCAGTATGCCAAGGACTGCAAAGGCAGAGGTGGCGAGTAGTGACCACTTCAGGAGAAAAAAATGTTAGGAAAATTCAAAGCAAAGCAAAAAATACAGGAAAACCAGAAAAGCACAGGGAAAGATGGTGGTGTAGACACAAACAGTTTTTCAAGAGACAGAAGGATGAGGAGAATGGTGGAGAGCAAATAGGTATGCAAATAGCAAAGAGATACCACAGGAAGGGAGAGAGACACAGTGTGAGTAGGAACTATAGGCAGGACAGACAGGCAGGTCCATCTGGATGGTTGCCAGTTGGGATACTTGAACTTGGCCTCTAATTTAGCTAGGCCAGTTCTATTGTTCACACATGTGCTGGGACTGGTTCGTTACAGTTTTCAGGGACCAGGACTAGAGGCTAGCATTCTCAGAGCAGATACATCTGCATCTTGGCACATTGTATGCAGAGTGTGCACAGTGAGGGTAGCCAATGGGATAAAAGGACACCTGTAAGACCTCCCGGGACACTCTTCAGTTAGTGGTGTCACTGGCAGCTGCTTCTGTCATGGGAAGAAGTCAGAAACTCATGACTTCTCTAAGAGAATGAAGTTGAAGGTCCCATTCTGCAGCCACCCCTACACGGCCACAGGCCAGTCCTTCTTTCTCATGCATCAAAAAGCCATGAACTTTGTCTGTACCCATTGGTTGTTTTCCATCAGCTCCTGTCTCCTTTAAAACAACTACACATAGAAGATTTGAGTGAGCTTTAAGGTACTTTTCACGTGCCAGTGAACGAACCTGAGAAACTGCAAATTTACCTATGTCCAAGAATGTGAATGTAAATGGAAATGAAGAAGAGTTTCCAAGGTCATTGATGGCAGTGACACTGACTGTGAACGTGGATTCAGCTAAATCAGAAGTTAGAGTGGTTCCAAGATTCAAATGACTACAATTCTGACAGCTGCATAGGCCCTGACAGGTCACATTGTTTGGTCCAGTTAACCTGTAATCCAAACACAAGGCTGTTTAGCAATATACTTTACATGCTGCTTCCTGAAATTACTACAAAAGAATACAATGTTGTAACATCAAAAATTCCAGACACATTTCAAGGCTGGTCTTATTACTAGGGGATATACTTGAATCCTGTTCTTATGTATAAGACCATGTCTCCTCCTTTCCCCTTTTTTGGTACAACTGAAATCTTTTTAAATGAATGCTCTTGTAGAGGGGTATTTGCCTACACTGTTCAATTCCCCCAAAACTGGCTGTCATCTCAGCTCCTCAAGGCAGGTCCAACCTTAATCCAAAGGACCTTTGAGCATCTGACCTCCATTGGATGGAAGTACGGCGTGAGCTCACAGTGTGATGGTAGGAAGACTCCAATCCCGGCCCCATTGTCTTTTCTATCTTCTGTCCACCTAGGCACAGCTGGACTTGTGATGGGATTGTGGGATATATTCCAGGAAGGGAGGCTCCTCATATCCCCTCTTCTTGTGGACTCTCACATCAGCCAACTGTATTTTAAAATGTAATTCCTCCAAGGAGGAGTCCATTTATGTATCAAGATGCCCAAGAGTGTAAGATTTCAGAGGAGGTGGGGTTTTACACAGCCAGCTTAACCCGACTGCAGGGAGACCATCTTAACCGAGGTCTTGGATGACCCAAAGAAAACCTTAAATGAGAATGTAGGACCAAGATATCAGGCCTCATATTTCAAATGACTGGGGCAGCTCTCACTGACAGACACTGGGAACAATATTTAAACTCTAGGGGAGGAAGTCATTGCTGCTTCTCCTTGGCACATAACAAAATGTTTGATACTGATGAAAGCCATGTAAGATAGAACATACACAAAACAGCCACATAGTCCCTGACTCACTGTAACGTGTAGTGGGTTTTCAGATGAGTGTCTTGTCCAGGGTCCCAGGCGCAGGTCACAGTCCCATGCTCTCCTTTCTGGATGCATGATATGTTTCGAGGTGGCTCTGGAGCAACTTTAAAAAGGAAGAGCAAGACTTGGAGTTTGAAACATTCTGTAGGTGATTTCAAGATCACATTATTATTATTTGCAGTATGTTGATAATGCTTTCCACATGCCCGCAAATCTACATGAAGTCATATTCTAACATGTTCATACTTGCTTCCAAAGCATGACTTTTCTCTAATAATTAAAGCAATAGTGATGGATATTGATCACTTCTTATAGTCTAAGCCCTGTGCCAAGTGTCTTACAGGCAGCTCCCTGCCAGAGAACTCCATAAAGTAGGTAAGATTATTTTTCACTTTATCAAAGAAGAAACTAAGACTTAGGCAAAACATCTGGCCCAGACTACAAAACTATGAAGGGCAGAATCAGGGGTCTAGTTCAGGTGTGGCTGGTAAGCCATAATTCTACCTTTTTTTGTGTGTGTGGAAAGACAAACATCTATTACCCCAGGGAGACCCACAATGCCAGAGGAATAGCAGCTAATTATAAGAAGTTTTCAGCCAGGCATGGTGGCACACACCTCTAATTTTCTCACTCAGGAGACTGATGCAGGAGGACTGGGAATTCAAGAGCAGCCTGAGCTGCATAGATCAACCCCCTCTCAACAAAGAAACAAAAACAAACAAACAAAAATAAATCTCTATCATCAGTGACAAATTAAAAGACAACAACAACGATTGTCTTTGTCTCCATGCACATGAAATGGGCTGCTGAGACACTGTATCGCTCGGAGCACTTTATGAGCAGGTACAGCTTATGCATACAGATGTTCACAGCTTCCAGTCCCCAGACACAGGCCTGGCTGTTGAAACAAAGTTATACAAGGCAAAGGGGGTCTATTTTCAAACAACATATTTTTAAAGTGAGCATGGGTGTTTTGCCTGTGTGTGTATCCAGGCACCATTTGCATGTCACAGAGTACAGAAGAGGGTGTCAAATTCCTTGGAACTGGAGTTATAGATGTTAGGAACCTCCATGTGGGTGCTGGAAATTGAACCCAGGTCCTCTGCAAGAAGAGAATTAACAGAGGGCTTTAAGAAAACACTGAGTTGAACAGCCACCCTATTCTAATACTGTACTCAGACTCCCATGCAGATAAATGTGCCTTTGGCAAGATTAAAAAGTGCACACTGCAAAATCCTCCCCATCTCTTCCAAAGCTGTAACTGATGGGGAAAATATCATTTTTTCTTTTCTTTCTTTTTTTTTTTTTTTTTGCTAGCATCCACCACAGATATGTACACAGTAGTGTTCGTTGGGTGGTTTTGGACAAGTTAACATCTCAGCATTTAGTTCTGTCTATTGACTGGGTATAATGATATATAGCACTCATGGTTCTATTTAATAAAATAATAAATTATTCCTTTTGCTAAAATAATAAGCATTTCCTTGCATACATGTATTTAGGCATATATACCTCTAGAATAATGGAGACTAAAGAGCTATAGAATCCTTCAGGGCACAACCATGTTCAGCAGCTTGCCTAGCTGGACCCGAGAAGCTGTGGGCTGCTGGCTGGGAACAGCAGGCAGGGGTCTGCGGGCTTCCCTGTGCTCATGCAGCAGAGGCCAGTTGTGATGTTTTAGTTTTTTCCTCTTAGCAGTTGCCTGGAGTGTCAAACTACACAATCCAGTAGCGTAAAAGAGTTCCTATGGGGAAAACTTGGACCAATAAGGAGCTAGGTAAAGGCTTTTCCCCTTTTCTTGCTAGTGTGTTTCCATATGCTTTTCCCGGAAATGTCCTTAAGTGACCAAACAGTTAGCAGTATTTTCTGCCAAGGCCTTGTCAGCTTAGTAACATCACCATGATATACCATCACGTACACATCATGGTGTTTCAGTCTACAGATCACGTTTGTAACAGTGTTTCTGTGAGATGTTGTCACCTGGTGATGCCATTTTAGCTTAAGATTACTTTATGCTGCTTGCACAACGGTGAAATTAATGACACGTTTTCTAGAACCATTCCAATACTAAATGATGCATTAACTATATTTCCTAGCTCCTTTCCTCACTCTCAGGTCCCTTCTTGAAGTATTAGCCTATCAGTTTTGCATTGGGCAAATTTCCAGGCGTGTGACAGCCACTCCTCGTGGGTGAGTGGAGATGGAAAAACTACTTGCTGTGCAGTAAGTGAGGGAAGAGGAGGTGCTCCCCAGTGTGCTGCCTGCCTGGGATGCAAGTTGGAAGAGACACTCTCCCATCTCTTCAGAAGCTTGTACCTTTGAATCAGTTTCCCTAAATCAAGAGGGTGTGGCAATCTAGCCGCAGAACCAAGGGCAGAGAGTAAGCAAATTCTCCCAATGGCCAGAGAAAGAGGAAAGGAAGAAGGAGAAGAAGTGAGAGAGAGTGAAGGTCCAGAGCTGGGGAGAGACTGTGAGCTGCTAAATAAGATCCTAATTCTGATGATTTCTGGCCTTTTCACACCAAGATTCTGATGCTGCTCTCACAATAAAATACTTAATGTTATGGAAGAACAAAGAAATCTGTCTGATGTTTGGGTTCTATTTACGTTATGTCAAATACACACACACACACACACACACACACACACACACACACACACACACACACACACTACTTCCTAAGAGTTCAGAAAGGAGTGCTTACCACCAACTGAGATCTCCACCCCACACACTCGGTGCTGGCTCCTGCGACAGTCCAGTTTGCAGACAAATAAGGTCACACCAAGGGGAAGGTTGGTGACTTGAAAAGTGGAGGAGTTACCATAGTGGAAATGGACCTTTCTGTCAAACTTGAAGAGGATTAAAGTTTGAGAATTGGAAGGAGGAGAACAGCCATGTTTGGGATTCAAAGAGCAGGAAA